AAGCATACATATTCTTAAGCCCAATAAGATCGAATAAAGTCTGTGCATTGATATATTGATCGAATAACTGGAACAATACTGTGCACGAATTGGCAATGGTATTGCGCGTCATATACTCGTTTATCTGTGTATTGAATTGTGTGAATAAGAAATAATAGTAAAATTCGCCATAAAGAAAGACGAGAGAAACGTGATAGGAACTGCGGCACGAAAACACAAAATATAAATAATCATTGAAATATATGGTTGAGACCAGTAAATTGAACAAAGTTGCAAGTATATTCATTCATGCTCTCCTGGCTTGCACCATTTCGCGAAGATTTCGCTCAGCTTCTTCCAAACCTTTCTGAAGATATTCTTTCTGCCTTCCAAACGCTTCAATCTTCTGCCTGCAATCAAATATTTACAGATGAAATTTCATTCTCAAAAAAATATTCACGAAATATTCTGCGAAAAAAAATATTCACAGAAAAAATTTCATTCCCAGAAGTGCTTCGAAAAACGTGATCGCTGGGAGATAAAAGATTTGTAAGAAAAAAAGCCATTGTAGAAGCTGAACAGAAAGATTGAAGGACAACCATGAAAAGTACTGAAAAAGTTGCCCAGAGGTGGCAAGCATAATAAGACCAACGCATGTTTGGGCACGTGCATCCAGATGTAATCAAACGGTATATTCGCTGGATTGTGTTTCAGCCAGCAAAGCACTACCGAAGCACAGCTCTCAATGCACCCAAACCGCTTAGACGACCTCCACCACCCCAGTCCTTTATCGCTTCTGCCGACACCTAGTTAAACGGAAGAAAAGAGATCAGATTTCCATAACAAGTCGAACGAAAGTCCAGTAGTTATGATTTCGCACAACTGACCAGATGCCATCAGAAAAAATGCCTCAGAAGAGTTAAGCAGGTAATTATGATATTTTAATTAAGCGTACATGTCGCAGCTTACAAACATAACATCCTAAATCTCTTTTCAAAAGCGTGCCAATTGCTCTCAAATGCTGTAGGGTTACTGTAAGAACTCTGAAAAGGGTTTCGAGCCATGGAGGCCATATTTAGCCTCAAAAAGGAAACAAAACGCTATCCTCACTTCGAGCTAATTGGAGTTGCTGATTTTAACTACGAAGTAAGCAACTTATCATAATACTTTCTCAAAATTTATGCCAGAGAGGTAGTGGCAGCCGTCTTTTCGATGTTCCAAAAGTGTGACTGCCAATTTAAACAGCTTCACAATCTTGTACAAACTGAGTATAAAAGGCAGCGACTTGGTAAAATTTCGTTTTCTAGTTTTTCACCTATTCGGGACCTTCAAGCTGTGAGAAATTCTGCCGAGCCGACCTTTAAGCT